TCCTTGTACTACCTCTTATAAATTCGTATAATTATAAACGTTAAGCGTTGGAGTATTTAAAATTATTTGTCAGAGGGTAGAGGGTAGAGGGGAGAGTGACCCTTTTAAATGATGGGTATTAACTTTCAGACATTACTTGCTCCATTCTTGATCCAGGGGTGGGCATCAGGAAATTTTAAGGTGGGCACGGCCTCACTTTTAATACATTATGGCGAAGTGGGTTACGACTTAAATTCAAATTTTACAAGATTTACACTACAATTTGTTCCCCATTAAATCTGTGACGATGTAAATCTACTTGTGAATACGTAAATTTTCAAAAACTGTTAAAAAGTTTTGTGTTTAATCTAAAATTTTAAAATAAAATTTTATACTTCTAACTTTAAATATAACAGAATTCTTATAGAAGTTTTCATTCAAAAATTTCCAGAAATGCTGAAAAGTATTTTATTTATTTCTAATCAAAAGCCTGAATTTAAAGTTTCGTACTTCTATCATAATAGCTTCAATTATAATAAAACTGTCACACAAACTTTCATCCCATATTTCGTCCCTTTATGGTTAAATCTATAAAACCCGATAAAAATATTAATTTTTATTTGGAACCAACAGCCAAAATCTAAAATTTCACGTAACTTCTAAACGAAATTCCGTATAAACTTTCAACCCCGTTTTACTTCATTAGGGTTGAATGTTTAAAATTTATATCTTACTGTGCACCCACTATTAGTAGTCCATTTTGTTTGTTCACTTCGAACATCCACGTGTACAAAGTCGAATGTAAATATTTATCAATGAAATTGACTTAATCAATTAACTCTAGTAAACAAATTAAAGTGAGTGTACAAAATTAATTAACGTAATTCATTTGTGTTATATTAATTTCATTAATTAATTTAGAATTGTTCAACATTTAATTCACTTCGCCCAAATAATAATATCTTTTTCATTAATTAATTTAGAATTGTTCAACATTTAATTCACTTCGCCCAAATAATAATATCTTAAACAATATAAAATTTGAACTCGTTCTAACATATTTCAACTAATTAGAATTCACTGTAGCATAATCAACTAATACAGAGCTCGTGAAAATAAATGTATTTTAATTTACTTGTATTTTAATTAATTGTTAAGTAAGGCGTATTGTATTATATAATTTACATACTAACGATGCTTGAATTCATATTGTAGTAACAATTTCATTATGAATTTACTGTATTTATTTATTTAATACAAAAATCACACACACAGCTCTTAAAAAAAGCAACTTACACGCTAAGTCTTTTATAAATACAGCCAATAATGGATCAATTTATTGAAATATTTATTAATTTATTTTTGAATGACAAAGGCCTATTTACCTCTATACTGTGTAGTCCTGGTATAGTATAGGATACCTCTTCTTTTCCCGTGGGTTTCGTAAAAGGCGACCAAGTGAGGGCGAGGGATTGGCAGCAGCATCCTTCTTTAACCATCTCCAAAGCCTAGCTGCGGTTGCTAATCCGCATATATATATATATATATATATATATATATATATATATATATATATATATATGTATATATATTGGCAAGACTGTTTCTTTCTAGTAAATATTATTAAAATTTGTTAGAAATTTTGTATAATTTATTAAACATAAGAATATACAAAGCAAAAGGGTAGTGATTTCATCAAAAGATCATGATGGAGGGAAATAAATGAGACTTACTAAGTATATACAGAATAAGTTGTGAAATAAGTGCAGATTTCGCAAGTACTGCAAAGGTGAGAAAAAATAATACTACAGATGTTAATTTATTTTTGAACAAATAGAATGTGTTTTCAAAAAAAAAAAAAGATTGCTTTTTTATTATATTTGTATGAAACGGTCTGCAATATACATGTAGTAGTGCCTTCATTTTAATCGTTTCTTAAACAAAGTAACTTCATAGACAAAAGAAATTCTTAGCGGCTTCAGTAGCGACAAAAGTAGCTGGTAATTATATTATTCTTATTTTAAAATACGTCGATGAGCAATCAGATAGTTCGTGAATAAAAAATGTCGTAGATTTAAAGTATTTGAATTTAGAACGCAGAATAGCAAAAATTTGAATTAAGAACCGTCTTTGGAAGTTGCTTACGAAATATTACTTCAATTTTAATTCAATGTTCGAGCACTTTTTGAATAATCAATCAATTCTAATTAGAAATATTGAAAATTGTTTTTGACAATTGACAGATAATTCCGACGTTGTCACACTTCGGTAAGCTTAAATACGAACGCTGTTAAAGTCGTCGTTCCAGTAGTGAAATAGGGAGAGAGTTTCGCCCTATTGGTGTCGGATCCTTAAGCCACGTTGCCGACCCCTTGTCGCCCTTCGAACTTTAGATATCAGTTACAAATACAAATAGTTAACACTTGTATTTCTGCAGCCAAGCAACTATCCTTAGATGACTACGTTTCGGTTTAAGGGGTGAAATACGGTATTGGATTGTTCAGCCAAATAGCTACTGCTTTCTTTCTTTTCTCTTCTACCCAAAGGTTGTCTGATCTTGTCTACTTAAAAGGCCAGCAGCACGCCTGCAATTTCTATAATGCAGGTGCCTATAGGTAGGCGTAATCACTTACCATAAGATGAGCCGCATGCTCGTTTGTTGTAAAAAGAAAGTAAAAACGTGACGATTTTAAACAGCAATAAAACGCCAATTGACAATACCATCCATACTTTGTTGAAGCATTTGGACATTTTCATACCTATGTACCTAAGACTAACCATCGACTATAAGGGGGAAAGGGATTGTTAGTAATGAAGTTTGACAGCCCCATTGCTAGCAATATGCCTTATTAGGTCGACCTCCACGTCGTTCCCTCTGGAAACCATCGTGAACAATTCTTGTTGAATTCGTCACGATGGGCTAACTGACTTGCTTCATCATCACCTATCATCCTTCACTGGTGCCCCGCCGGTGTATACCGATAGCTCGGGTGGGGTTACCATTCCATTATCATCCATTAAAAAAAATCATCGGCTATAACTCCTTTACCCCCTATCCGTACCCGTAACATCAGAGAACTTGCAGGTACCCCCTGTCTTTTAGGAAAGAAAACGCTAGATTATAAGCCATAGAAACCATTATTAACAATATATCGTATTCGTATCAATATGACCTCAAGACAAAAGACAATAAAAGCTATTATGGCAGATTTTTTTTGATGGGTGAAAATGGAATGGTAACCCCGCCTGCGCTAACGGGATACGCTGGCGGAGCACCAGTGAAGGGTGATCGATGAGAATGAAGACAGGCCAGTTAGCCCATCATGATGAATTCATCAGGAATTAACCATGATAGTTTCCAGGGGGTACCGCGATGAGCTCGACCTGGTTGGGTATTGCTAGCAATGGGATTCTTAGTCTCCGTTACTAACAATCCCTTTCCCCCCTTGTGGCTGATTTTGGTAGAATCGTGACGGTAATGGACCAAATGATCTAACTTTATCCTCACCTATCATTTCTTACTAATATCTTGCCAATAGTGGTTTACGCTGGTAACGCCAAAGTTAACAAGCTTATCATTCCTTTAACATTATTTTAAACAATATTAAGTACTGATCATTGAAATGTAGTTACTCGGATTTTGTTATTAGTTAATAAAATAAACTTTCTCTGTCTACCCTGAATAAGACCTAGCATAATGATAGATGTATGTATAGATAATTGAATTACAGTATCTGCAACATACACCTATACAAGCAGGGCATCGTTCATCACACCGGGGCAATAAATAATCCCGGTCCTAATCGAATAAAACAGCAAAGGCGGGCCGATATCCCGTTTCTGTTCGTATAACCACATCAATTGTTCACCCGAGTGCTCCGCTAAACAAATTAATACCTAATTGCTTCACGAGAAGCACTCAAATACGGGATCCCAATCCCGGGATCCCGAGTTCTCAATCCAACAACCCAATTATAACCCGAAGCGTCCGACGAGCCTCGTAACAACCATTGCGCAAAGAGATTCTTTTTTTTTTAAAGATTCCATTTTTAAAAGGATTCCTTTTTTAAAGTGCTATTTTCTTTTGATTCAATTCCCCTCTCAGGCCAGTATCCGATTGAATATTCATCCCGTGAATCGGCAGCGGGGAGGTGAGAATCGGAATCCCACTGCTGAAATAACTCGATAACGTTCCGAATAATTGGAGGGTCGATTAGGTGTTATTATTTTTGGATTAGTGTATCCATTCGCATGTACACTCGCTCTCCGGTGATAAACGGATAAACGGGTGTATTGTATAATTCCTACTGATAGCATTTAATCCCGTGAAGCTTGTTAAGTACCGATTGAATATCAATCAGTATGATTTATGTAACGAAATCGCATTTATTGATTTATTGTCGCCGCTTCGTTTTAATATTCTGGTTTTGTTTGTTTGTATTTCCCTGGTTTTTTTTTTGTTTGTATTCTGTATTTATTTGAAACTTTTTGTTTGTTTATTGTTCAAAATTCTTTATCATCACATAGGAATTTGATATACAAAAGGAATATGCAGTAGGAGAAGTTTCTAATTAGTACTGTCAAATTAAGTTAGTTTTTAATTTCTCTGACAAATAGTTAAATAAATTTTATATTTTATTAATCATTAAAATAAAGTGAAAATATATACGTATTTAATATACAAAGATTTAATTTTTTATACATTAATTATATTAAAAAACATTAGTACAATATAGCATAATAATATTCCAATTATTGAGTAGTTATATTTAAAAAAAGAATAACTATAAAAAACTCCAAATTTTCGAAGTCGTCTGTTTTAAATAATATACAACTTAAAAAAAATATATAATTTTCTAACTTTCCTGCTATGTATGTTATTAAATCACGAAATAATACATATATTAATTATATTGTATATTGGAATGACAGCCACAATAGTATAAAGATAATCCATACAATCTGTTGTACTTAATTTTACTCTTCCGAAAATGTTATTAATTAAAAAAACAAAAACTTACCAACGGAATCCGTACATCGGAACAACACTGAAATTCCCAACACTATAAAATACATGTGCGCCCACATCACAAAGTCTCTCAAACTCATATCCGACCACAATTAATTGAATTAATTACACTGGCCAGTAACAAATTGCCATTTCAAATTATCATTTAACATTGCGACGATAGAATAAAGTTTCGAAATTCGAACGCGCGCCGTGCGAATTTCGAATATGGAACGGCTATAGGCTCGCTCGCGTTGCTGCGAACTACTCCTGGCATTACACGCCGAAGGCTGCTCGAGGAGCCGGCGACACGCGCATGCGTGCACCGTTCCCGTTCAGTGTTGTATGCAACCGTATTTCCTTTTATAAGCTCAAGCGTTCCCGTTTGAATTATTCTGTTTTCTTTTGACAGTTTTACTGCTACTGGCTTTTGACTTGAGTAATTGTCGACAGTTTTGGACCAGCCAGTGTACGAGATGGTTCGTTGTATTCGTTATGATAATAATATTTTATTGGCACGTTATGTATATCCGTTGCTGGCCCTTGTGGAATGAATGAAGATCTTGATCCATTATTATAGGTACTCATTAATTCAATCGCTCATTTTTCGAACCAAAATTTGTGTAACATTCAAATTGGTCGTCTAATGTCAGACTTTAATAAGACAGTTTTGAATATCAAACGAATTTATACCGTCTTCACAGCTTGATAAAATTTGAAACGACGATATCCTCAAAAGAACCAAAGTAACCGACATAGCCTTCGGAATATGTCGGTTACTTTGGCCTACTGCCACTTCAGCTTGCTTATTCTTCGGGATAAGCAATCTGAAGTGGCAGTGGGCTGGTCACATATTTCAAAGAATCGACAACCGATGAGGAAGAAAGATTCTTGAGTGGCGATCCCGTACAGACAAACGCAGTGTAGGAAGACACATTATTAGATGGAGTGACGACTTCAAATGCATTGCAGGGAGTCAGTGGATGCAGGTGGCCCAAGACTGTTCCTAGTGGCAGTCTATGGGGCAGGCCTATTTCCAGCAATGGACAAATGGCTGAAGTGGTGATGACAAGTGTTTCATATCTCTAGAAATGGCAGTTGTGCCAATGCGTGTAAGTGCCGTTAATTGTCTACTGTTGTACATAGCCTGTCTAAGGGGTTTTGCCAGTAATTACCTCGCTTGGCAGGCGGGTTGGCAACTGCAGTTTGGCTTTTACAGATGTTTTAATAGGAACGCCCATCCATCCACCATAAGCTCCCATAGTCGCCTCTTACGACACCCACAGGAAAAAAAGGGGTAGCCTATTCTATCCTGGGACCTAAACAGCTATAAGGAGCAGTGTACATTGATAAAAATTATCTTCGCGTATTCAGAGGTATTTAAAATGTTTGTGTCATAGACTCAAATAAAATAAATAAATAAATATATACGGACAAATCACACAGATTGAGCTAGCCCCAAAGTAAGTTCGAGACTTGTGTTATGGGATACTAACTCAACGGTACTATATTTATAATAGATACATATATAGATAAACATCCAAGACCCAGGACAATCAGGAAAAGATCGTTTTCCATCATGACCTGGCCGGGGATCGAACCCAGGGCCTCCACGTCGCAGGCAGGCGTGTTGACCGCTGCGCCACGGAGGACGACAAAGGGTTCTAAGTCACGGATTCAGAACGGACGTTTTCTGTTATTCCTGGAAGTTTGTTCAAATAATATATATAAAGGTTTGTGCATACGCGCGCGCGTCTTTGTCAGTGTAATGGATGAGATTTTGTGAGCATATTCTGAAGTGGTTTATGGAATTAATAACTGACAAATATAACATTGGGATTGGGTAGAGCGGTTTTGTCGGATTTCCTGTTCCGGCTGTTTTAATTAATGATATCTTTTTATGTCTTGAACAAATAATACAGACAGTCGTTTTGATTATGTGTCTACATAGATATTGTAGATAGATTGATAAAAAAAATTATTCGCAACAAATGAGATGCGATATGATAAGTGAGACAATTTGAATTAAAGTTTTAGTGTAAAAAATGAAAACAGGTCACATTATTGTAATAACGGGAAATTGATCTTGATGAAAATTCAATTCAATTCAATTCAATTCAATCATTTATTGCTATTTCATGTTGTAACAATATAGGTCTTAAGTTATTAAAAGTATAGAATCAACATGAAACCCTGGAAGGGCACAGCAATCACATTAATAAATATTAAATAAAGTACATAACTAAATTTTTACATTAATATTTCGTCGATTAACATAAAATAAATAAAACATTATTACATTGAAACAAATAGGTACAAATACAATTAAATTTTCTCATTGAAAATTGTGTTGTGAAATTATTTTTATTCACTGTGTAATCAACAGTGGTAAAGGATTATTAGTAATGCGGACTACCAATTTCATTGCATAACAATATACCCTGTCAGGTCGACCACCACGTGGTTACCCCTGGAAACCATCATGTTGAATTCCAGGTGTATTCATCACGATGGACTAACTGACCTGTTCTCATCTCACCTATCATCATTTGCCGGTGCCCCGCCAGCGTATATCGTTAGCGTAAGCAGGAACACCACTCCATTATCATCTATTAAAAAAAAAATTGCAGTTGCCAATCTGCCTGCCAAACGTGGCTACTACTGGCCAAATCCTCCAAAGGGGAGGCTTATATTCAGCAGTGGACAGTTAAAGGCTGATATGCTGGTAATGATCCAATATAGTACTGGTGTGAAATTAAACAAATTTACAAGCAAGCATCACCCAAAATCCCATTACTTCTACCACATTTACATTCGCATTAGCATTGTTAGCTCGCATTGCGTTCAGCTAACTAAATATAATCAATCAAGCCTTTACAGTTTCAATGGCAGAAATTCTGCGAGGCCAGTAAAATTATTGCATGAACAAGGTTGTACTCATATATATAGGTATATACCGGGCTGCAGTGACAAATTTTTAACGTTATTTTTTTTTTTACCTAATGTAACCTAACTTATCGGGGGGAAAGGATTGTTAGCAATGAAGTTTGACAGCCCCATTGCTAGCAATATGCCCTATCAGGTCGACCTTTACATGGTTTTCCCTGGAAACCATCGTGAACAATTTTTGTCGAATTCGTCACGATGGGCTAACTGACCTGCTTCATCCTAACCTATCATCCTTCACTGGTGCCCCGCCGGTGTATACCGTTAGCGCGGGTAGGGTTACCATTCCATTATCACCTATAAAAAAACCTAACTTATCGTTATACTGACCTACTTTCCCACTGCTGGGCATGATTCTCTTATCATTAGACAATAACTGGCTGTTACTAGGTAGCATCCTGATAGCTTGATATGGGCCTTAAGTATTTATATTAATATTTGATTTCAATGAAAAATACCTTTTACTACTATTATTTATCTATTATTATAGAAACATTTTATTATTATATAAGCCTAGAATATAAGCCTCCCCCTTGAGGAGCTTTGCCAACAGTTGCCATCCTTGGCAAGCGGATTGGCAATCGCAGTTAGGCCTTAAAGATGTTTTATGAGGGATGCTGCTGCTCATGCCTTCATCATAAGCTCCTTTATTCGCCTTTTACGTTACCTACGGGAAAGGAAGGTGTAGCCTATTCTATACCTGGATCACACGACTATTACTTATCATTACTTATAGAAAAGGATCTATACTAGAAATGTTAATATTTATGATAAGGTCTAAAATGTGTACATTTGTAGAAGAAATAGTCGTCGATTGGATCTGAAAGATTAGCAAGCCAGTGAACTGGCCACCATGTTTATAAAGCTATTACTCATGGTGAACTAAGGTTCCCAAGTAACCATTATGTACAAGAAAAGATTAATAATAATAATAATGGATCTTTTTTAAATAAAAATATTATAATATTTTTATTTAAGAAAAATACAGTTTCATAAAGTACAATTTACAATTTTTACAATTTATAATCAACGAGAAAAATATTTGCATTGCCATCAGTCATCAGCGTGGTTACCTATTCAGTATACTTTATTTAAAAAAAAAAATAAGAAAAACTATGTGAAAAAGTGAGTACGTGTGCGTGCGTGAGTGCGTGCGTGCGTGCGAGAGAACGTGTGTGCGTGCGTGCGTTCGTGCGTACGTGCTTGCGCGCGCGTGTGTCTGTTGTGTATGAGTGAGTGCGTGCCTGCATGCTTATACATGCGTGCAAGCTTGTGCATGTGCATAAGTAGGTACGTGCTTATATATATATGTGCACAGTCAGGATTAGGGTTTCTTAAAATTCTCAGTTTCCTCATAATTTAATGAAAGTAAATAAATTATTACAAGTCTATTAGCCTGTGATGAAGTGTTATTCTTTATTTGGCATTCTTGTTACTAAACTTAACTGATTTAATATTATTATAAAAACGAAATGTTGCAAAGATGTTTGTCAGTCAATAAGCGATTGGATTGATGATGGATACATATGTATGGGACATCGGAAATTTTCAAGCGACCACTCTGTCAATAAATATGTAAATGCAGCTCGATGCGTCAGACTCGCCGTTGCTGTATATCATACATTCTACGGAACGTCGGGAATTTATTTTTGTATATATTATTTATGGTTAATGTATAAATTAATTTTTTTTAAATAAATACATTCAATAATAATTAACTTTCTTTTTCTTTTCATTTAAGAGTTTCTTCTTGTCGGTGCAACTAATTCATGCATCTTCTTCCAGCCAGTTCTATCCCAGACCATTTCCTTGACCTCCCTATACGACATGACACCTAGTGTTTCTTTTATCTGTCCCATGTAGTTATTCCTCGGTTAACTTTAATGAACTTTAATAATGAAATCAATAATATTTTAAAATGTCATTCTAGACTTCATTTGCATGCATTTTGAGTGCATTTTTTTTTTATTCTATTATGTTAAATAAATAGAAATTTCTATTGAAAAGTATAGGCCATCGATAAAAACTGTATTTACCATATCTGGTAATTTTAAAAGTGTTTAATGCAAAACTATAACCAAATATTTTTTGCCGCAGTAAATAAAAGAAAGTATGACAATTAGAATTAGTTTTTATGTAGGTCCAACTGAGGTCATTTATCTCCGTTTATGTTTGTATAAATGACCAAAGTTGATGCAAAATTAACCACTTAAATTGGACTAGAACTGGGCATGCCAGTCAAAAGTTTAAAACGATATGGGCTAAAGCAACCATTAAATAGCTCTTAAGTGTTAAACAAAATCTTTATTATTTATAA